ATTCATCGCCGTCGACATCTTTCCCGCAGCTTCCGGTGACGTCACCAGCCAGGGCAAGCTGTCGATCCGCGAGCGAATCGCTCAGTAAAATCGCGCGCAGAGACATCGAGCCCGGCTGCAGCTTGCTCCTCACTTTCTGCCAAGGGACATGTAACTAGAGTGTCACAACAACCACTCCATCCCTTTTCCAAATCAACACATATGTACTGGAAGGGCATAAATACTAATTTGTTTGCCTTATTTCATAAGTGAAACAGCATATTGCAAGGTTTACTTCCAAAGTGTTTGGTGGCCAATGCAATTTGTAGTCTGTCTCAGTCGTTAACATGGTTACATTTCACTCAAAGCTAGTGTCAAAATAGTTTTTGAATTCGTTTTCTTCTTCCAACTTCACTGACCACCAGTCCCATTTCACTGTGGGGTTTGTGTGGGCCACTCAGTCCCAAAACTTTTTCTGTTATTCAATTAGATCATCTCAACTCCTATTTACCTACCTTGCTTCATATCACTTGATACCTTTTACCCAGCAAGCATAGGTTTTCTTTAAAATTTTAAGTCAAGCGGCCTGCTTCAACACGTTGGATTCCATCAGTTGCTCAATCCACAATGCAAATTGTTAATCAGGATTTCTACCAACTGAATGCACATGACTTTGGCAGCCTAAATCCTTATTAACAGAAACCTGTGTTCTTAAATATGTTGTAAATTGGTTCAAGTGCATCAGACCTAACCTTTCACTTGCATTTAAGATCTTGGGAGATTCAGAGACAAATCAGAGGCAAGACAAGGAAAATGTTTTTGTGCAACTGCTTAAGAGGTGGTTAAGATCCGATCAGGTGGCAGATACAGGATCAACTGTAGCTTTCAGAAGAAAAATGTACAATTATTTGAAAGCTGAAAAGTTGCAGGGACATGGAGAAAAAGCAGAATCAGGTGGATTGCTCTTTGAACACAGGCAGAATGGGCTGAATGGTCTCCTAACATGCTGTATATAACATGTTCAACAGGTATCATGTGGACCAAAAGGCAGAAGATGGCAACATTTCGCTAATTGAAAACTAATTGAGGGCAAAAGCACATTTAGTGTGGAAGTCAAGTGGTGAGCAGCAGATTGTCTAGCTATCATATGCCTCACCCATCTCTTCTTTCCACCGGCATTTAAGTTGAAATTTCTAATGCCTGGTTTATAGTCTGATTTATTTTCAAGTAAGATGATATTACATGAAATTAGATAATACACCTACTGAAAAAAAGGGTTTAGGCCCGAAACGTCAGCCTTCCAGCTCCTCTGATGCTGCTTGGCCTGCTGTGTTCATCCAGCTCTACACCTTATTATCTCAGATTCTCCAGCATCTGCAGTTCCTACTATCTCTGAAGGGGTTAAACTAATTCTTTTGGATGTGCTTCTGATGCATGATTTTTGGAGGAAACAGTTTTCAGAAACCTCTGCTGCAACGTTTATCTATAATTAGATTAGCAGATTGGAATTTGTTGACAGGTCTGACAGATAGTTGGGCATGGGCCCCAGTTTATATGGTAGGACAGTTTCTTTCTGAGCTCTATTTCTGAAACATGTTTATTCTGCATTTTTAGAAACATATTCAACAAGAATGCAGGCATTAGTTTCCCCTGAAGACAAATGGATACATTTTCTGTGTTATATTCTTGCTCCTAATGTTCAAACCATTCTAACTGACGTTTTTAATGAATGAAGGGAATGTTTGTAACTAAACCATTCTGCAAAAGCTAACAGCGCACAATAGTTTGCAAGCTTGACACATGTACAAACATGAGAAATCTGGCAATGCAGAGACTAAATTAGAAACAAAATTAAAATAAGAGTTAAAAACAAGTACAAAAACAGAAAATTGCTGGAGAAGCTCAGCAGATCTGACAATATCTGTGGAGAGAAATCAGAGTTAATGTTGCGGGTTGAGTGACCATTCCTTTTCCAGCAATTTTTGTTTTTGTTTCCAATTTACAACATCTGCAAATTACCAACAATCTCATTTTCCTACTGTCTGTGGGTTCCCCACTTCTCCTACTACACTTTCCTCCTTGAAGATGGTCCTTAAACTTTATCTTTATAATGAAGGTTTTGCTATCTATTCCACTGGACCTCTGACATTCTCCTTTCTGTAAACTTGGGATCATGCAAAATTTTACCTATGTCTTAACTTGCACCAAGTCCTGTTCACCTATCGCTGGTTATCTTGATCTCCGACGTCCCTGCGTGGCACCAGTTTCTGGAAACATAAGTCAATGCTGCAAATAGTGTTCGGATGCTGATTGCTGTGTGCGGACCCTCAGAGCAGTTGCATGTATTCTCAAATGACTAAATGGGCCAATTCTTGGCCTGTAGATGTTTGGGCCAGTGGGAGAGAATGTCCTATGAAACAAGGCAACCTAGAGTTCAAGATTTTCTTCATTTCTTTTTCTTCTCTCCTGCAGCTTTGGCTCATGATAAAAGCATTTGAACATGAAACATGATGCACCTTGATGGACAAATTATCAGCAGTTTGAATGATTGGTAACAAATTCCTCCCAGTCACTTATTTTCAATGCTGTTGCACTTCAAAGAGAGCTGCACGGTGACTGTCACATTTTCTCTGTTGTTCCTAGAACACTGGCTGTTTGACAGTTGAGAAAACAGGACCTAGTGGAGGGAGACACTGTTCAACCTTCTAGACACTGTCTAGTCCATCAGATTTGGTTTGGCAGGATTATTGGCTGAATGCTTACATAGCAAGCCTCATGAAGGGCATAGCTTTTGTTTGCTGGCCCTCCCATTGGAGGAGGCTTTGCTGGTGCAATTTCTCTCATTGCTCTCAAGTCTGACTGATACACAGTTCAGGTCTCAGCACAGTGCAATAGTACCGTCGCAACAATTGGTCTGCAAACTGGGACTTTTGTTGACTTGCAGAGGTCGTTGTTACTGTAGGAGTGAACTCCCTGACTGGGGACAAAGACTCGGGAGGCAGCAGGATTCAGGCATGTGGCAATTTATTCAAGCAATTGCAGGGAGAGGCCAAAGACCACTCCAAATCTGGCCTCAACAAAATCCCCTTAATCTTGACTCAGATCGAAACAGAGGTCAATGACGCTCCAATTTGCCCGGTGGGATACTGTATTTTAATACATTTTTGTGTTACAATAATCAGATACGATGTTGTCATTGTGCCTTCCCCCTTAATCTATACATCCAATCCTGTGAAACACCTAATCTGTGATCGACACTTCTGTGGGCAGCCCAAGGTATGATGTCATCCATGATGTCATGATGTTTATCTGACATTGTAATCATCAGGCCTTGGGATCTTACAATGCATCCCATTAATTCATATTCCAAAATTAACAGCCATACCCCTTCAGACATGTCCCAGACTTGCTTATCTTTAAGCACTGCTCGAATTCTATTAGTCACTTTATATTTCTCACTGCCCTAATTACAGGAGATACAAAAGAAATTAGTTCTTAATGCTGTAAATTTCATAATATTGGTTCAATTATAAAGTTAGTTATATGTAAAGTATTGTGTTTACCTCTACTGTTAGCATTCTTTAGCTAATGAATCGTGAGCAATTTGTCTCTCACCGGGTTTACCAGGCACCCCTATCTTTATCCTCATGTGTCTCACAATATATACATCCCACTGTCTGCTAGTCTTCTGTGCCTCTGGTTCATTTCTTCCCTTTAATAATAAGGGAGCTGCTTTACTATCCGAGACTGGTTAACTTTAATATTTTTATTTGAATCTTTTTCTCAGATGCTTTTCGTGATTTTTGTATTTTTGTATATATGTAACGACTTCAAAATCTATCTCGGTGATTATCTGAAGAATCTTTAACTAGAACCTACTCTTAGTATTGTGCATTGTTCAAAAGAAAACCTGATTACTGTGAAATGATTTTATCTGCTGTTTTCGCAGCTGCACCATGACCTATGCTGATCACATACTGTCTTCTGGGATGAGATTTACTGCCCCTACCCTGACTAACTCTTTTCACCTAACGAAATAACATCTTTCTCATTGATAAGACTGAAACTCAATCACTTTCCCAGCTCAATGGACTTGTTTGATCTTCTAGATTTTCAAGAGCCATAATCCCATTAATTCATCTGTGTTTGTTATTGTGGGATCTTACTTTTGTCTTTAATTTTTGTTACAAATCCCAAGCTGTCCGTTCTTAGATGTTTCTTATCAAATTGTCTTCAACAGACGTTTGCAGCTGCTGTTGTGCGGAGCTCCCTGTTACCTTGAGATAATTCCTTCTCAAAGTTACCAGTATGCTAACTCGTGACCTCACGTAAATGCTGAAGCAGGCTTTTAGTTCTGCCTGCTATTGTCCGCCATGTCCTGCAGACATCGCCAGGGGCAGTTGATGGCCATTTTGTGACCGTCGGTCGTGGGCATCTCTAACAGTTGCCAAATAGCTGTTTGTGTTATTTGTAGAAAGCTGAACTGGCACTGCTGAAGTGGTGTTGGATCTCCTCATCAGTGGTGGCCTTTTGAGAGATGTGGCTGCCACGGTTTTGGAAGACCTCAACACATTCCAGTGTGGCTGTTTCAACATGTCTGGGACTGGGCCTGGTTGATATTTGGGTTTTGTTTCGGCAACATTCAGAGACAAACAGAGTTTCTTGTACAGAGAATTCCAGAGATTAAGAGAGGATTGCAGAGGGGAAATAACATTATGTCCGTTCACATATACTGGGTCGTCTGTGGAGGTCAGTTTGGTTTTGGCATGGAGGTAACTGAACTGAAAAAGAGTTATTCATCTACATGCTATTAGCACTGACAGCAAAGGACAGATGACATCATTTTGATAAAGTGAACAACCACTGTCAGGTTGACTGTAAAAAAACTACGTGTGATCTCTCACAGCCTTGCTTTGCCCTGCTCTGGACTTTTAAAGCAGCTGTTCACATTTCCCACTCCACACAGTTATAGTTGTAGATTCATAGAGTTGTATAGCATGGAAACAGACCCTTCGGTCCAACCAGATATCTAAATTAATCTAGTCCCATTTGTCGGCACTTTGGCCCATATCCCTTTCAACCCTTCCTATTCATACACTCATCCAGATGTCTTTTATATGTTATAATTGTACCAGCCTCCAGCACTTGCCCTAGGAGCTCATTCCATATATGCACCATTCTCTGTGTGAAAAAGTTGCCCTTCAGATCACTTTTAAATCTTTCCCCTTTTGCAATAAGCCTATGCCCTCTAGTTGTAGACTACCCTACTGTGGGAAAAAGACTTTGGCTATTCACCATGTGCATGCCCCTCATGATTTTATAAACCTCTAAGGTCACCCCTCAGCCTCCGATGCTCCAGGGAAAATAGCCCCAGCCTATTCAGCCTCTCCCTATTGCTCAAACCCTCAAACACCAGCAACATCCTTGTAAATCTTTTCTGAACCTTTCAAATTTCACAACATCTTTCCTATAGTACAGAGACCACAATCACACACAATATTCCAAAAGTAGCCTGACCAATGTCCTGTACAGCTGTAACATGACATCCCAACTCCTATACTCAATGCACTGACCAATAAAGGCAAGCATACCAAACAGTTTCTTCACTACCCCATCTACCTGTGACTCAAC